GAGTGGGCGAGGATTGGCGCTGAAAACTTTACATGCAAGCGGCGTGGGCGGGCATCGGTGCCGAAAACTTTACATGCGAGTGGAGCGGGCCTGTGTTGGTGCGCTGCGGGGTTGGCTATTGGCTAGGTCAGGGCCAGGCACTGCATAGGTGGTTCAGCAAATGTCTATTGGATGCCAGAGGGTGGAAATGAGTGCAGAGGTGAAGGAAAAAACTGCAAAAGGGTGAGAGATTCATGATTTCATGAGCCGCAAGAGGGTAATGCGTTTCAAGACGGAGCAGGGCACGATCAAGATTAAGGTGAGGTGCAAGAAAAGCAGGAATGGAGTGAGAGTGGGAAATCGAGTAGGGGACGTCCAGGAGAGTACAGAGTGTGGGGTGGGGGTGAGTGTGTGGTGGGGGCGAGGCATGAAAATCCCATATGGGGAGTGAATGAAGGCAAGAGCTTAGGGAGACAACTGCTGCAGTGAAATGCAAGTGCGGTTTGGCAGAGTGCAGGATGACGCCCCGGAAAGGAGTGTAGCCGTTGTTGACCGGGACACGGGAGCACACCGTAGGCCTGCAAGTGGAACGGATGGTGGAGCGCAGGGAAGCAAGGAGAGTCGCGATCAGATGGCACTTGTATGGGTAGTGTGCCAAGAGGTTCTAGGGAGGAGGCACCGTGGGGGTGCGGCCGCCTGGGAAGGAGGCCCCTGTGAGGAAGGAGGCTGGGGTGAGAGATCTGGAGAAAGCCCAGCGTAAAGAAGGGAGGGCAGCCTGATTCAAGCAGTGAGCACCCACAGCCGTGGCACCGCTACCCAAATCAGGGGCAGAAGGCCCTTCCGCCTCCTCTGGGCCTGCGAGTGTGACGCTTGTCCCTTCTCCTGCTTTAGTGTCTGACAAGGGCAGGGGTCAGGCATGCTCCACACGTGACTAACCTCAGGCCTTCGATCCCCCACTTCAGCGAATAGCGCAAGGCCTTGCCTGCTGCGAGTGCCTGGTAGACGGAGCAAAGGACACAGCTAAAGAAGCACCCAGCTCAGGGACTGAGAAGGGCCATGGCTGCCTCCACCAAATCTCACACGCTCATTAAGAATTTGGACATGGACGCAGAAGTCCTCAGTGAGTGTCTGTGGCCTGGGAGGGAGCCTGGGTTGGAGCAGAGTAGGCATATGAGCAGTGCTATCGGCAGTCCTACCACCAGCTTGAATTGCGGGGTGACCTTGGGCCAGGATTCCTAGGACCTTCCGCAGCCCAAGTAGAACACACCCTCAGCGTTACCTGTTAAGTGATTGCAGGAAGGAGCGATCTGGGGGCTTGGGCAGGTCCGTGGCTAGATGAGACCTCGCAGTGAGGGTGGGGTGTACTGGGGCACGGCAGGGACGCGGGGGAGAAGGCTCGTGAAATCTGTCCCTGCTCTTTTACAGCTGAGAAGAGAAACACTGTGCCCGAGCTGGACGCGTGCCCCTGTGCAGTGCTCCAGGAGGTAAGGAGAGTCTGCTGCCAGCAGGGAAGCTCCCACCAGCCACTGCCCAGATCCCTTCCGCTGTGGAACCCCGAAGGCCGGGGTTCCACGTCCCACCCTCCCACCAACTTGCCATGAGACCTTGGGAAAGTTCACTTCTCCCTGGCCCGCATACCCCAGTTGCAAAAATAAAAGGTAAGACTACCTGATTTCCAAGGTCTTTGTAGCTCTGACATTCGGGGCTCCTGTCCTCGTCCCCAAACATGCCCGGCTCCTCGGCTGGCCCAGTACCTGATTCCCCCCTGTGATCTCTGCCCCTGCAGGAGTGCTCGCAGGGCTCTCTGCAATTCTGTTGGCTCCCGGAGCCTTCTTCTCAGGCCTATACTCCAGCCACCCTGGAGGGGCAGCTGACGGCTTCTCTTCCCGAGGATCCCCTAGGGCCTCCTGCCCTGCCCAGCACGTGAGTAGACAGAGGAGCCGGGGCCTGCTGGCGTCTCCTGTTGTCCTGTGCCCAGTCTCATGATTGTTGCGGTGGGAAGTAGGAGGAGGAAGGGGAGGATGGGCGGGGAGGAGAAGGCGGCGTTTCGGACTGATGGCCGGAGGTGCGGGCTCTCACGAGTGTGCCATTTGCTAGTCACCACACTCTGGACCCGTGACCTTAGTTCTCAAGCCTCGTTTCCCAGTGTGTGTGTGTGCTGGGGAAAGCACTCTGCACCCACAGAATTGAAAAGAAGACTAGTGCCACGCCTTGTCGCACAGCGGGCCTTCAGCACGAGGGGGCCGTTGTCCCACGTGAAACAGGTGGACGGGATAGCAGGTCCTGCTGAAAAGGGGGCCGTGCCGGTGAGGGCTGCAGAGGTGCAAGGGAAAGTCCAGAGGCCAGTAGAGAAAAGAAGCTTCCTGGAGAAGAGCCGGGCTTGTCTTTCAAGACCCGCAGGGTATTGGGTAAATGGAGGTAAGACCCAGTCCCTGAAGGTGGACAGGGACCTCATCTCCCCGGGCGCTTTGCAGATTAAAACACAGACACCTGAGATCCCCCGTCATCTTCACCCTCGCCCCAGGAGGAGAGAGCTGGTAGGAATTAGTGTCTCACGAAAGGTGGAGAGAAAAGAGGTGTCGAAAGGAAACCAGGCCAAGCGGGAGAGAGGACTTGCCCAAGCCACAAGGCCCTGTAGCCGTTCGGATTCCCGAAGTTTTGGTGTTGCCAGCTCCCGCCCCTTGCGGTCTACTTGGTATGACGTACCTGCCAGGGTTTTTAATGCCCTGGCCTCTGCTCTCCTTGTTTCTAGATGCTCAAGTCCGATTCTCCAGCCCTGTGCTACTCCTGACCCTCCTGTGTGGCAGCCACAGGTCCTGGGAAAGGAGTGGGGTCCAGAGCTCCAGGAGGGGCCAAGCGAGGTACGTGGGAACAGCAGAAGGCCTTCGGGTGGGGTGGGGTGGGGTAGGGTGGGGTGGGGGTCTCGAGGGAATCGGGTGCTGAAGGGGCACTTGCTTTAGGTGTGAAGAGGTGCAGTTCCCCAGCCCCGAGTTCTCTCACACCCTTCCCTTGACAGGCGCACAGTACCTCAGACCAGGCTTCGATTGCTGACATCTTGGAGTGGGAGCGGAAGCTGGAGGCTGCCGAGGCTCTGCTGGCTCTGAAGAACTCTTCTTCGGCCCCTCCCGACGCCTTCCCCCTGCAGCAGCCCTGCAGCCCTGTAAGTTGCTTGCTCCTTTGAAGTGTGAACTGGGACTGGGAACAGCTGGGAAATGGAGTGGGGACAGGGTGTGTTGCAGTAATCTGGTTCACACGGGGAAACCGGGGTCAGTGGGGTGAAAGTCCTGGGGCCAGCCACTCAGCTCCTGAATCTGTTCCATGAGATGCTACTTGAGGGTTCCTCAGTGAATCCTCAGATTGCCGAGGGGCATCGTGCTCCATGGCAAATGGCCAGTGTGCCCCGATGTGAAGAAATAAGGACACCGAAGCCCCGATGGTACCAGGGACTTGCCCTAGGGCACACAGCAGACCCAGTGGAAGAACTCCCGTGTGAAGACCCTCTCCCTGAACCCCTGTGGCGTGCTGTGGTCTGGGGAGGAAATACAGAGGTAAAAAAAACGCCTCATCTGGAAGGAGATCTGGTCCCTGCCTTCTGGGAGCTTCCAGTCTTGATGTGGAGACTAGATGCCTTCCCAAGCTGTATTTTGCAGCTGAATACCAACGGCGTGCCCACCCAGGAACGGCTGGAGGAACTCAGAGGAGGGCTAAACGCCTAGGGAGGCTGGGAGGGAAGGATGGGCGTGACTGGAAAATTATGGCGGGTGGGGCATGGTGTGTGAGTGAAGAAGCAGCCGTGGAAGAGCTGCTGGCACAGAACAGGATGGAGCTGGAGGGGTTTCCGATCACAGAGGCCTGGCAGGCTGCACCTGGGATGCTGGGGCAGTGGCCGTGGGTGTTGAGGAGCCAGGGAATGTTTCTGACCTAGCCAGGGGCATATGCAGAGACCTCGGTTGGATTGACCAAAAGAGGTGTGGCGGCTGTGAAGGGGGTACGGGGAAGGCAAGACTACAGACCGAAAGCCAGGCAGGAAGCGGTTTGTGCAATGGTCTCGGTGACAGATCTTCGGTTGTGTCGGTCAGGAGAAGGGGGGAGCCAAGGGAGGAGATGGGTGCGAACTGGCTCTGGCCCCTTCCTTTCTGCTCACAGGTCCCGCTGGAGATGGAGGACTCCAGCTTCCCAGACCCTTTCGAGGACCCGGAAGAGCAATCCCTACTGCAGTGCCTACTAGAGCTGTGGGGTGCATCTTCCCGTTGACGTAGAGCCCAGAGGAAGAGGCCCCACTAGAGCACTGCCAGTTTGGTATCCTGTTTCTGAATGTGCAGAACGGTTCATGTTCAAAATGCTTCACACGTTTTTTGAAGCCTTCACACGTTTTTAGAAGCTTTTAGACACTTTCTATGATGTGGGGCAATTATTTGGCGGAGTTTGAATGATTCTGTTCCTTCATTCTGTCATTCTTTAGATGCTGGGGCCTTTTGTGTATCTTAGAAAGGCGGGACTGTGCAATCTAAGATAATCCGTCTCTCAGTGGGGTTCCGAGAGTTTTTGTTTGTCCTGTGATTTTGCACATAGGTGCACACTCGTGCACTCATGTCCCTATCTCTGTGCGCATGTGGAAGCACGACGATGTTTTCACTTTGTCTGGGTTTGTGAACAAATAATAAACTGTTCCTGTTGCAAGGCACTGAGAAATGTGGCTTGTTTGTTACCACAGTATAACCTAGACAACCCTGACTCTGACAGACTAGTTTTTCAACCCACGTGTCAAGGGGAGAGGTAGCTGGGCGAGGTGGCCCACGCCTGTAATCCCAGCACTCGGGAGGCTGAGGCAGGAGGGTTCTCAGGAGTTCGGGGTCAGCCTGGGCTACAAACTGAGTTCAAGGCCAGCCTGAAGTGCAGAGCGAGACCCTGTCTCAAAAAGACCAAAAAAAAAAAAAAAAAAAAAAGCGAGCGATACTTTACTGGAAAGCTGGGAGTTTACATGGGTAGATGAGAGCACGGTAGAGGTGAATTAAGTAGCAGATATATTCACTGAGCAAGGAAGT